AGCTTTATTTCCGAGTATTGTCCGCGGGCACCCAATTTCATTGTTGATAAACGATGAGTTTTCATGTTGAGAGCTCGTGTGTTTTTGCTGTTTTGTGTCAGTTTCATATGCCTACACATTACTCAGAACATCCAAGACATTCGGGAATTCTTAGCTTGTGGCAGGACCAGGTGACGCCATCTTTCGGAGCTTCTACAAAGGCTTAACATCCTAGCAGATTTTCGAAGTTCAAGGAGCGCCAGTGGACGACTTGGAAGAAATTCAAGAGCATCGAACCTGCCAAAGTCAAAAAGTGCCCAGAAGCAGCAAAAATGACCTCTCTCTCGCCAACAGAAACATTGTGCGACTTGCAAGGAGTGGCTCACATCACGCTGCACCCGACATTCACCGCGGATTCTCGACGCCAGACGGTCTAAATCCGTCCGCAGACAATGTGCGACGTTGTCTGAGAGATGCTGGTCTCTTCTGACGTCGTCTAATGGAGAAACCGCTGATTACTCTCAAGAGCGCGTTTGAATTAGGACCCACAAGAAATGGACTATTGAGCAGTGACAAAAAGCCATCTGGAGCAACGAATCGAAGTTTTTGCTGTTTAGGACGAATGAAATCAAGTTTGTGCGACTTCCTGTTGGTACCAGATATCATCCGAGGTTCCATGTGCTGACGTGACGAATGCAGGGGGTGCGGTGATACTGCATGGCAGCTTCTGTGGCAAAGGGGTTGATCACCTTCATCGGACCGAGGCTGAAATGGATTCCAAAACGCACCTCAACATATGGATGACTGCTATCTGGCCGCATGCTCGCAGTGTCGCCCGTAGTGTTTCATTTTCCGACCCCAAGCGCAAAATCAAAGCCGCTCTCGCAATGGTTCCGCAACAACAATGTTCCTCCACTGCCATGCCATCGCAGTCCCCATACTTGAATCAGAGCAAAAATCTGTAGGATGATTTTCGGAGTCAAGCTGAAGGCCTTAAAGCTCACAACGAGTTCGAAAAGTCCGTCCCACTGAAGATCGCGTAGGGAAACCTCCACCAAGAAAAAATCCGAGTCCATGCTACGCCGGTGTCAAGCCGTCATAGATGAAAACGGTTCTGCGACAAAGTGCTGATGTTGTAGTTGTTCAGTCTGTTATTATACAAGTTATTTTGTTATTATTTTTGAATTTTAGATAGATTGAAGTTCGAACAAGTAATATGGTATTGGACCGAAAAAAATTTAAAAATTTCTAAATTAGTATAGAAGCCACCTAGACAACTGAAAATTTGCTCCCTTATCACATATAGTGATATGTCTCACAAAAAATCGGAACAAAAGCTTGAGTTTTGAGGGAGTTACGTTAAAAAAGTGAAACGAATACTTCACATCACAGTACTGTATACAAATACTTCACTTCACAGTACTGTATATCCAACCGAATGACAACCTTGAAGAATTTTCTGTCTACACACTCTAAAAAGGAGCTTTCAGCGGTCCACACAAAATGCGTTTTATCGCTACTTCTTAAGTTTCAATATTGGCTACATAGATTAAACCAATTCATCCATTTTTCACAATTTGAAGCCAATCTCCATCTCACAGGTATACCAGCGGATGGGCTTAGCATCAGACATCCAGTCTGTGAGCCGGCACACCGTCTTCCTGCTTGGTGGCGATGCTATTGTTCTCAATAGGCTAACTCATCTGAACTCTTTTTGGAAAGTGGGATTGGATTCAGGTTACCTCCTACGCAAACAATCGGAAAGGGAATAGTGTCGATAGCTTGGGTTCAAGTCGTCGCTGGGCATGATATCAAATTCTATTCAGGCTACCACTGCTACATTAGTTTTTTAGGCGCCAAGTCCACTCGTGAATGCAGACTCAGAACTCATAAGTGCCATCAGATAATCAAGCTTTGTCACCAAGCATAGATAATATTGATTTTTTCGAGGCCATTGCCGAGCCCCTGTTTCTGCAAAGTAGCATAAACACTCGTTAGGACTGCCTTGAAAAAACATATTATGCAAGTCTCACGTATGCCCGGGAAATTTCTCCTTCTGAAGGATTCTTGGATTCTGACCACTCGTGAACAACGTGAAAAAACTGTCAAGGAGAAACGGCCCTAATCACAGAAGTGCATGACTTACCTGCGAATATCATTGCACCACACAGCGAGAACACGGCGAACACTGCTCGATTTTTGTCGAATAGTGGCACCATGAAGATGCACATTGCCAGTCCCGCAGATGCGACCGCATTGAAACCCTGAGAAGACTTCAATCAGTGCCGAATGAGGCAACTGGTTTCGCTTCCTTCCACAGTGTTAAGACGATTCATTCAATTGAATTTTTAAGAAACTTTCTTTTTCAAGCGAAATTAGCGACAGGAACGGCGTTAACTAGCAAATCATCTCATCACGTGCATCATACTCTGTGGAATATCGGAAATACCAAAAACTCAAACTGTGGGCGGAACTTTCGAGGTAGTTCGCAATTCACTGAACATCCATTTAACTCATGACTCTCCACTACAGGAGTTTAAGGATTAAATTTACTAGCCACTACTTCTCGCAAACCACAGACCAGTATCGAGTATCAACTCTAATGGCCCAGTTCATCCCACCCCTTCCCGTCTCGTGCCTAAGTCTCTAGCCGCTTAGCAGAGATAGCGTAAACGTTGAAGAGGACAACACATGAAAGTCGCACCAATGCGTGAATCAATGGGCAAGGAAGGAGCCCCGTTTCCCGAGTCATATACCATTTTTCTCGGTTTCCTTCTTTCGTGCATCACTGACACCATCCCAACCCAATCCATTTAACTTTTCATCGGGAAATTTGCCTTCAAAGGAACGATTACGATAAACAGAAAGTGCAATAGGGAGGTATATAACCAACATGAAGCAGTAGCTTGGTGGTCAAGTAAGCGATGTACAGTGCTTTTACGAGGAAAGGTGCGTTGGTTGCTGGGTAGCACTTGAAAGCGCTCCGCCACAAAAAAGTCCACCTACTAGCTTAGTTGGTGAACATGAGCTGTGTCGTCAGCAGCGGCCGTGCTGGAGTACTCAAATGGGCATCGGGATGGTGCCACTAAACGCGCTGCACTATAACTCGTCCATACGTCCGCCGGAGCCCGCCCTTGGACGAAGGTCAACGGCTAAAGAAGGGGAGGCTTTTTTG